ATTGCATATAAAACACCGTTTCAAATCCTAATAAAAGCTTTCAGGCCAAAGAGGTCTCCTTAACCAATAAAAAAAAATAAAATAAAATAAAATTTGGTAATAATACATGTAAAAAGTACTATATAAGTATCTATTAATTCTTCTTACTTTAGTATAGACAAATATCATTTATTATAGCACAAAATATAATACTATGTATAATTAGCAAATTAAATCATTAGAGAGCTATCACTTATTACATAATTATAGCCCCTCCAGAGTCAGTCATTTGACAATTACAAGTTCTAAAATAATCATAATATAAACCATATACAATTGGTTATTTTAGAGCTTGCCATTGTCAAACGATTAATTACTTTAGAACTTGTAATTGTCAAATGACTGACTCTAAAGGGGGGCTATAATTACGTAATAAGTGATAGCTCCCTTACTATTCTAATATTTGATAAAACAAATTACAGCATATTATTTTTTATAGTTCAATACTTGACAAATTCAACAAAGTTGATGAAAAAAGAGTATTTAGGTTCCATTTTGCTTGAGGGTCTTCTGCAGGGTGTAAAATTTCAGTATTATCTAAATCGTAGTCTTTTGCTTTGTATACTTCATTATCTAACTTCATAAACCACTCATTAACAACTCGAGTACAATCTAATTTATCTAAAATAGGCTCAGGTTCTATTTCTTTATCAGAACTATTAGTTTCTTCGATCATTTGATTTGTACTAGACTTTACATTAACACTACTTTATTATTCATATTCATATTAATAATTGAACTTTTTTTTTGTGCATGTATTTGCATACTATTGAGTTTCTTTAAATAAAATTTTTTCATATTTTCTTTATATTGATTAGCCTATTTTCATAATTTTTTTTCATTAAGATGAACTCGATACTTTAAATAAATAAAGCCCATATCACTAAACAATCGTTTAACACTTGCTAAATTAACTACAATTGAAAATAATCATTTACTAATAAATACAAGTTCAGGTGCTTCTTCTTCAACATATTTCCAAAACCGAAGTAGTGTATCCTTAAATTGGTTGGCTTGATAATTATCAAAAGGAAATGTCTTGTCATGATATTGTGTTATTTTATTAGCAAGTATTTGTGGCTTATTTTCTTTTTTTTTTTTCTTTTTCTTTTTAATATTTGGGGTGTAGCTCCTGCCCCAGACTTTTATTAATACTTAAGTAAATTGACATATGATGGTGCCGTA